GATGTATATCTCTTTACGCATGCGTAGGATGGATCGTGTTTCCGGGACGGATCGGGTAGTGACAACGCACACATGCGTATTACTAAGGTTAGCTGGCCTGACTGGATTTTACCAGGCTAAAGCTTTATGCATGAGGAGCAGATGCTAACTGGGTTAGCCTATGCTTAGGCTAGGTCAGACACCCTTTTCTCAAATGGCTAATTGTTTTTTCTTAAAATGTCTAACTTTTTACCCACCATCTTTAAACTTGGAGACTTATGAGAAAGAAATCATTAAAATTAAAGTATGCGATTCAGAATTGCTATTTGATATTGAAGCTAACAGCTGATATTAACCGATGCTGGCTCCCAATCAAACAATGAACGTCATATTGCAGCGCACTGCACCCTTAGGTCGACTAGATCCCCCAGAGTTGCTCCCGTTTTGGTGCGTCTAGGATGGAGCTGTGGCTTAATTCGTCATTTTCCAAGGTGCTTCCATCTGACCAGGACACAAAACTGTCCCTCTTCAGGGCAGAACCGCCCAGACGGCGTCGTATCGATCCTGAACGCACACCTACTTGGGGATAACGTGTAAATCGTTCTCTGGGGATTCCCAGTGCTACTATCCCCTTGTATGGGAGGCTCTGCTGCTCAGAAAAAATATGATAGAATATTTAAAAGTAGAATCTTTGGCTACGTTCAGACTGCAGGCCTTGATGCTCAATTCCGATTTTTTTACGAAATCCGATTTTTTGACGTTGCAATGAACATTTTCAAATATATGCGACTTGTATGTGATCTCCTGTGTGAACTGCAGTCATACAACGCAAGTGTCCCGCATGCTCATCACAGGACGCGATGACGTCACAGGCCAGCGTGGTCTTTTTTTTCGGAAGTAAACGTGGGTGGTAGTGCCCGTGCGCATCTAGTGATCTTTTCCAACCATAGAAACACAATCTTTTCAATATGTTTAAACATACCTAGCCTACTGCTCTCCGCATCATCATCTGCCATGGCTTTTTTTTTTCTTGCCGCTACTGCGTAGCAAGACGCAGAATAGTGACCTTTGTCGGTTATTAATGACGTTCAGATCGGATGAATCCGATCTGGACGTTCAGACACAGGTTGCATTTGAAAAGATCAGATTCGTATCGGATTCAGGACCACATAGCCAACTGGCCTGGGTCGCATTGGAAAAAATCGGATCTGTGTCGTTCAGACTACCATGAAAAGATCAGAACCAGGTCGCATATGGGCCAAAAAAATCGGATTTGGGTCACTTCAGGCTGCACTGTGAACGTAGCCATAATCCTGAGAAACTGACTGCGCAGATAACTTGTTGAGGTGTGCTTTGTTGCTTAAAAACATCTTAAAACTTCTTTTTACTCACTTATCAGAGCAAATAAAGCAATTGCATCAGTACACAAGAGACCAGCAATACCAATCAAACACACCTGTATGCACTTTTCTCGACGCTTTTGTGACGCTCAAAACGTGTTCGGTTTGAACACAGCATAAAACAGTTCGGCACATAACCTCCCAAAAAAATGCCACTCGTTTATTTCTTTCTCAACATGTATATGCACGTTAAATAAGCAAGTTAATGAAGCTAAGATGCTAACGGGGTTAGCCACGCTTAGGCTAGGTCAGACATCTTGTTTTGAACGTCTAAGCACCTGTTCACTAAAAAAAAAAGCCTTCTTATCCACCACCTCATCCATTAACTGTGAGATTTATGCAAAAATAATAGTAAGAAAGAAAAAAAAGCATTAATAAGAAAGCATGCGATTCAGAAGTGCCATTGGATATCGCTGTCGAAGCTAACAGCCGATACCAACCAATGCCGGGTCCCAATCAAACAATAAACCGGAAAACTGTTGCAGAAAACGTAGATATTAGCCCGCTAGATTTTAGAGATTTTATTTCGTTGTTTTTTTTTCGTCAAACTTGTTGTTTTAATGAAGACTTTTGGTTTTTCTTTAACTGCATCCTACATTTCCTAAGCTTGTTCAGCGCACTTGTTTTTTTTTTTAAAACACCCTCAGAAATCTCTTCAGGAAACAAAATGAAGTTTAATTTAACCCTTTTTTTTTTACCCGTCAGTATTATTTTTCTCCCTTCATGTTTTATTTCAGTGTTTGTTCTGTTCATGCTCTACAGTATTATCCCCCCCCCCCCCCCCCCCCCCCCGACACAATGGTTTTGTCTGTTTAGTTGTAGAGAACTTTTATATTTATGTGTTGGATTCTTTTTTTTTTTTTTACATTTCTTTACGCTTATTTATTACACATTGTAGTGTACAATACTGTAGTTTGTATTAATGCGATAATATATTTTAGTATGGAAAAAATAAGAAGAGAAGGCGAATAACTCTGGAAAACAAGACTCCGGCATACTGAAGTATGTTTTTTTTTTTTTACACGTTTTTTCTTCTTGGGAAAAAAAGCTCTCACCATGCAAGCCAGAAAGTTTGGAATCTGTGACCTCTCTCCATCCACTCTCATGTTAGTTTTCTCCCCCCTCTCCTAATACGAAGCTACTGAACTTTGAGAACTAATTGTATGTCTAATAGCATGAGTGTGTGCCGTCGTATTGAACGATGATCCTTAACCACATAGACTCTCGTTTTTTTTTTTTGCCAAGCCAAAATAATATTGCCCTACGTTCTTATGTTCTTATTTGTGCCAACTTGTTGCTTTACATCAGTGTCACAACCATACCCCCGGTTTTATATGCCCCCCCCCTCCTTTTAACACCCTCATGTTTTTTATAATGAATGTTTTTGTTTCTCTTTTTTTATTTTCTATGATTCCCCATCTCACAATAAAATGCATCAATTACTTGCCCACGTTGTCCTGATTTGAAGAATTCAGTTTTAACATCCGTGGTCGCTAAAAAAAAAATGTTTTGAATGTGATTGAATCAAATCTTTGCAGTTAATATAACATGATTTGCTTGTACCGGTAAATAGAAATATATTTTAACATGGTATAAAGAATCGTGAATATAGCTATATGTTCCTCATAAACTCTTGGGAATAATCAGCATTCTTATCTTTCAGTTTTCTTTTTAAGAGTATTTTATTTGTATGTAAAAACAAAAATAAGTACCTTATATGATTAGAATGATATGATGTTTGATAATACAATATTAATCATATTTTTTTTTATACAATTTTATTATTTTTTTATATACAATTTTTCTTTTTTCTTTTTTTTATTGAGGTTCCAAAGAGTGATCATTAACAGTAACTATCCTACAGTGGCTAACTCGGCCAAATGTCTGGCCAGATGTCGTGTCGCAACCCCCTAGTGGGGTGCTGATGTACTGCACTTGTTGATAGCTTTTTATGCATTAACTTTATACACGTAACAAAAGTTTGGATTAGGACCTGATAACTGTGGAGGTATTTTGAAAGGTACAAAGTCACTTTGTTTGACATCTATATGTCAGTTCACTCTGGTTGCAAACAGTTTTTTTTTTTATTATTACTTTTGGTTTTTACGTTTTGTTTTTGCTTAATTTGTTAGTTAACAAAGTCTTTATATATAAGGTAAGGTATAATACTCCACGTATGCACAACGTGGGTAAGGAAGAAAGTCGCCTACCGCGGCTAAACTATTAGCACAACGAAGCGAAGTGTGGAAATAATTGATTTCAAAATGGAGTGGAACATTCCAAAAAAGAACCTTATCACAAGATGATTGGAAAAGTCCTGAGAACACGGTTTAGTGTTAGCGGAAGCTAACGCTGCCGAGGCGTTGACATGTAGCTGCTTATATGATGGATGTGTGATTATGCGACCTCATTAACACCGATACTAATCATAGAAATGCAATTCTTAGACTCTATGATATAAACACAAAATTATAAATGGATAGATTAATTAGTTCTTCCCTCGATGCTGTGACCCTCTTTCCGTTTGTTAGGAATAGGGGAGTTTTCTTTCACCCAGTCAATCCTCACCAGAGCCCTCTGGGAAGGTTTGAATAGAACTTAGATTTGCTGTAGATCAGTTTATTAAATTAATATCTGTTAATCGGTTGGTGGTTAAGGATCAAACTGTGCGTTTACTGCGAGGCATTGCAGGACAGTCAGGCTGTATTTAGTAGATGCCATCTAGCTTTCTGATAGTTCCATGGTGCTGCCAGCAGATGGCACCATATCT